CAACTACATCGAAGATAACGAGCTGACGAAATCTTAAAGACATTATATCGTATTGTTTCGTTTTTCAACGTTATCGATTAGCCCGGCGCTACGGTTACTAAACCACCAAGCGCTTCTCGAAATCCACGAGGGACGAGTGAAGTTTCATCTAGAAGCAAATGTCAGCGTAAGAGAAGAGTTCGATTAATCATATGAGTACCTCTTGCCTTGGCGTAGGTCGACCTGCTTTGTGGAAGGGTTCTGTTTCAAATTGTCACGATGATAAATCGTAGCTTGTATTATATACTTGAAGATGATCCACTGTTTTATACCTTGGCAAACGTCTTTGAATTATTCCTATAGAAATTATTCTTGGAACTGTAGAAGAGCAGAGATGCTGATAAATAGATTTAATAATACCATCCCACGGTATATAAGTATAGTGGGTGCACGAAATCAAGAAATTTTCAATGACTCTTATTTTTCTTTCCATTCCGCATCGATCTTCCATAACGATGGATCCTGCTCCATATTAAATCATTACGTGTACAGTGGTGCGGGAGATACTGCCAATAGAAAAGTTACAAGAATTTCTTTCTATTTTCGCAAAGAGGGATACGTAAAGGGATAATATGTATTATGATTTATTTTCTCTCCTCGCGAAATTGTTATGCGAGTAAATAAAACGATTCTTCGGCGCACGAGTGGAATCCATCTTGTACTTGATTTCACGTCGAGATACGCCAACCGCGAATTCAGCAGCGAACAGAGCGGAAGTCGAATACGAAAGAAGTCGCGAAGCGGAACCTGGCTAAATGAGATATACGAGTTTGTTTATTCGATGTATTAGTGCTTCGCTATAGGAGCCAAGGAATATTTACGAGTTCCTTTTTCTGCCTTTTATTCTATTGCGAATTCGCTGCCAGAGATGCTCTTCTTTATATGAAAATTTCTTCGCTGCTACAGTTAATCCACGATTGCTGGATTTTTCAACAAAGTTGTGTTGGAAAAAAAAAGTGAGAAAATATTGTATTTAGATATTTGGACCTGTGCTCGTATCTCTCTCTTACTGTGTATTTTAAGCTAAAGGGATACTATCAGCCAATCCGCAATCAATATTATTACCTAAATCTGAAATCTCATTGGCTAACTATACGTTTGGCTTAAGGGATTATCTTACAAGGGAGAGACATGAGCACGGGTCTTAGAATATATTCAAGACCTGACGGCACCTGGTGCACCTAATTCTAGCTGTCTGCTTTGAGACAAGTTCATGACGGAAACGTATCATTATCCTTCTGCGACGTGGTCCATTAGGAACCTGAATGTCCTGGAGCCAAGTGGCAAACATTGGTCCAGGATGGTTACGCTGACTGATTACACGGACGCGATAATTATGTGTCCGATTACTGCAGAAAGATGGGTGGGAGATGTAGGGTGAGAAGGATAAAGACAAGTCGATAGTCCAATACCCACATATATGTATATGGATAATATATATTAGACATGTATGTCACAGGGATATATAAGGCTAAAAGAGAGAGAGACAGAGAAAATCCTACAAGTTGGAAAAGGTTCAAACTTCAGACAGCTTGACGTTTGCTTTTGCAGAACAACGAATGGAAAAAAAAATGAAAATAAAATTTAATAACAAAGTATTTCTATGTGACTTCGTCTGTTTTCTCAGTAAGAAGAATTGCGTGGCCATAACCTTTGACATGTCTCTCTCTCTCTCTCAAACAAAAAATCGTTAAAACAAACTAAAAGATCAATGGAACTTGGTCTTGTCTTTGAATATTTATTTTATATACGCAATTAAAACTTGAAAATTCTGACACCTGTGTAGAGCAGATTTTGCAAAAATACGAAACTGAGTTGTCAGTATATTGGCAATAGGTTACGGCAACATACATTCGCAACGTATATCTCCCTTAGTGAGTTATCTTCAGATACGTCAAATTATTCAGCAAACGTAAAGCAAATTCCACTGCGGGAAAACGTTATGCGAATATGGAAAATGAAAATCCTTTAAAACGTATCGCGTCTGTGTACAAACCTAAAGAACGTTAACCGATGATAAAAAGTTCGACAGATCATTCTTGTTTGACGTCACGGAGACCACGACTGTTTGAGCTGGGAGATGGGAAAGAACAAACATATGAGTGATCGATCAAAAGCGGAATAGGTGCGGATACAGATCAGACTATTTCTTAGAAACGAAGTTCATCCGATACCATCAGATTATTTTTTTTATCAAGAGTCACCACAAATAATGTACATGAAAATTAGTCAAAACCATTATTTTTTCTTTCATCTTTTTTTCTGCAGCCTACCATTTAGTATAAATGCACGTATCCCCCTTATTTGCACGTCCCTGAAAATGTCGGGAGGGTCGCATAAAGTTTGCGTAGACAGATGGGTGCCATATACAAGGGAGACAGGTCTCGCGGAAATCTTCATACATACGCAACGCTCGCATATTTGGTACTCTTTCATTAGGCACATGCGGCTTCTATACAGCGTACGTAGATACATATATAATATAAATAAATAGCAAGCAATACAGCAAGGAGCGCCGATTTCGCTCGGCATTTCTTGGAGAGTATTAATAATAAATTGTCCTCCATTATATCAGCATGCATATAAGGTCCTGATGGAAATACGTGTATAAAATATTACGCAAACTGTATAATATTTCTTAGCTAATTTTCGTCTATCAATTTTTTATAACGACGTCCAGTGGTCCATTTCGCAGTATATAAACTTAACTGACCGAGGTTCGATCATACGAGGTTCGATCATGAATTACACGATGAAATGCGCAGCCCTGGAAAACCGCAGACTATCGGTCCTGTGGTTGCGTATGGACCAAGATATCCCTGATGTGTAATTAATCAATATATTGGCTAATTGAAGCCTAACTCAATTAATAGCCACAAGAGGGACGCGCGCGTCTAATGGCTTGAAATTCGGTTAACTCTGTCAGTCGGTTATATTAGAAATGAAAAAATTGAGGAAGAACAAACTGATTATTATTAGTCCATGATAAAAGATGATTAAGACAGGTACCTAAATAGACACTGCATATTTGTATTTGACAATCGGCAGAGCAGGCGATATCCTTATCTCGGCAGCCATCATGAATTTCGAGCTCTGATATCGTGAACACGTGTTCTTTTTGCTACTAACGAACCTTCAAGGACCAACTCGAAATCCGAGAAATTTCCTAATTACGTAGTAGACGTGAGGCGTGGGATACATATATAGTATTCAAATATAACACGTAGTGTATCCACATAGGCGGAGAATAGGATATGGTTTTGAGCTAATTTAAGGCAAGCGTAGGTAGAGTCTGAATATAGGCAGGCAGCAGACAGGCATGTAGAGCTACATATGTAGGCGTATGTAAACGTTAGGTGTATAGATATATAAAAGTACAATAAACAGAACAGTATTAGTAGGTGCATTGTCTAAACTCCCAAGCACGTTAAACATGGATAATTATCTGTAGTTCGTAAATGTTATTTTGCCCAACCCTTTGCGAATTTAATCATTTACGCCTAGAGCTCTCCCCTTCTACTTCGCTATAGGTAAATTTATCCATTTGTCTCTCTTTCTCTCTCCGCGTATCTACATGCACCCTACGTACACGGTACAGCCTTGCTGCACAACGGTCCATGGCGAAACGACGAAGCACAGTAACGTGCGCATTACTTGTCTGTACTGTGACTACTGTGAGAGAAGTGAAGGGGACTGGTGGTGTTAAGGGAGGCTGAGACAAAAAGGGGGAGAGGAAATGGGGGAGCGGAGCGGAAAAGGGACGGAGTTAGGGAGAGAAGTACCATCCATTGCTCTTTGTGACTTTGACACTTTCGCTTCTGCCCTTTTCATTCTTTACGTTGTCACTGTATCTTCCTTCAAGCCCCAACTTACCTCGATGGCCTTCACTTTACGCTTTGGGTTAACTAATTAACTGTAATCGCGTCTCATAATTAGAGAAAGTTTACTTCCTGTATCTGCACAAAATCAACTAACCCCGTTTGAATTGCAATTAGTAATCTAATTACTTATGACTGCAGATAAGATTTTTTTTAACGATGAACAATTTTTTTCTGTATTTTGGAAAGAGTGATAAAATCATATAAATTCATATTACAATATTGTATGCATGTGCTACAGTGCAGCAGTTGCGTCTACAGACTCTACGGATTTCATTATGTTTCTTAGAACAGTAGTCCCGCGGGAGAATACAATTGTAGGTTATTCGCAGTTGGGCCGAGTTAAGTAGAGGCGGTAATGACGGTGTTAAGTGATAAGTAGAAAAAGCCCAAGAGAATACAGTGATCAGACATTATACATTAGCTGCAGCTGATTTTTTCGACTACGTGCTCCTGTAGCGCAACGGATTTCATGATAAGGTTAGGAGCGGATAGTGTGCGCGATTGACGAAATGGAGTGACGGAGAGAAGGCGTGAATAAACGCGAGTGAGAAGGACAGAAGACAAGGATACACAACGAGATGGAGATAGAGAGTTAACGAGCAAATAACATGAGAAAACGATGGGAAAACTCTACCGTGCTACATTATGAACACCTAAGCGATTCTACCCTCCCTTACACGTAATACCCAACCAACCCTTACCTGCATCTTGGTCCAACCCCATAAGCATTACGAGGACTCGTACATCGTTTTATCCCATACTAGACTCTATAAAAACACGCCGAAGATGCTCGACACGCACAAAGGTGCAAATATAAGATATGGCAGATTTTTTTCAGGGTTAAGTGATAAACAGACAGTAGTCGTCAGACGTATTTCAGTAGGCGTCAATGGTATGGAAAATCGAAAAAAAAAAGTTGGACGATGCAAATAAAATTTTATTTGTCCTATCCGCTTTTTGACATATAGACACATGAAGCTTTTGAATTTCAACTTTTTACATTCACCAAATGAGCTTCGTTTTAATAAAGTGGATCAAAGGTATTTTTTATAAATTGAACCATTTTTTATTTTGTTGCAGGTCGTCCCGGTTACGTGAGATACGACTTTAGTCTCGATACGTGAGAAACTGAAGATTGCGGTAGTGGCTGTATCAAGGACTAAGTATATGGGATGGAACGACGTGGCAGGAGGAGAGCAGGAAACTGTTGAAGATAAAGAAGATGAGGGTAGAAAGAACGAGGGAAAAAGTTTCTTGTTATTGTTAAGAGAAAGAGACTAGAGACCAGTGACTAAGAGCAAGGGTATGAAATAACCATGTATCACGAGAAGTGGTCACTGCCTGCCAAATTCTTCTCGTGAATTCGTGTTTCTCCTTGTTCCAGAGGAGAAGAATTTTCTTAAAGTCGAAAGACGAGAGCTGTGATCAGTTTAGCGAAAGGTAATTAGTAAGAGGAGAAAGAAGGTATACAAGAAAACCTTAAGAAGAAACTATCGAGATAAAGAGAAACAAGAGTAAGCAAGAGAGTTCAGTGCTTTCAGAAAAATGAACTCCTCGAGACTCGACAGGGGTCAGCGTAAGAGAGACAGAGAGCGAGCGAGCGAGAAAGAGTAAAGTAGAGAGTGGTGCAAGCGGGAAAAAGAAAATGGACTTGGTACTGTGAATTTTAAAGGCACGAGAACACTGCCAGATAACACAAACGACCTGGGTCGACCTGTTGGACAAAGATACAGGAAAAATATTCATAAGGAATTTTCACGCCTACTTAAGCACTTAACTCCTTCTAGTACAGAGGAATAGGGAGTAAAGAGATAAGCAAAAGTAACGGAATTTTTCCAACGTACGGAGTGCTTGGCAAGTGGAAAAATATGGAGGAAGGCTTTAGAAAAAGGATAATAATCATCAAATTGGGAAAAGACTCAAGAGGCAAGCTTTCGAGGATCTCTTAAATTTACTAGTAAAAGCAAGATCATTGGATTCATCAGTTCAAGTACCAACCGACGAAAAAACTATCGTCCTTTCTCACCGACTTATTAATAAAGAACTGACTTCCCTTTAATCTCAAACGTCAATGGTTCTTAATTATCTCTTCTTTACGTAAGAACCTGTTCAACCGACCTTTTCAAGCGAGTGAGAACTTATTCAAACGGACTTATCCATGTTTATTGAAAGCTATCAGTCACTGTTTTAATTAGAATATAAAGAAAAAAGATCATTACGTCCAATTCAGTGTAATCATATTGTAGGCAGTATAAGCGTAGCCTCTGACAAAGCTTACCTACGACTCGTGGTCAAGGAAGTTCAGTGAAGATGATCGTGAGACACGGGACTGTCTAAAAGAGGGAAAAAAGTGGCAATGGTGGCTGTCGGTGCAATGAGTGTCGTGCTGCGGGGATTATGTTTTAGTGTAGTGTTATTTGCTGGATGTCCCTACGCGTACTCCCAGCTGCCATGGACGCCGATTTACGTGGGACAGAGTGAGTACAAAATATTACCAACTGTTTCCGATGTTTATTACAAAACGAGAAGCACTAAGAGCTATAAGGTATTTCGGTATATTTTTGAATCGACAGCTGAGACGTTACTTATAGAAGCCAGCATCGACGCTCGAGATTTGCCCTAGGTAATATCCAAGACTATGTAGCAATAACGTATCCCACGTAAAGGCACGTGCGGTCCGAACAAATAGGAAAACCGTATACCGCGTACCTTTAATCAGCGAAAAGTCATTCGGGCCAACTATGGCAATCAATTTGTGCCAGTGGAATTGAGATTTGTTTCTCTCGGCTGTGCTAAATCGAGCGAGTGAGTCGATATATCGTATGGCAAGAAAGAAAGAGAGAGAGAGAGAGAGAGAACCAGCGCCATTCGACGCGACCCTTTCGCTAATGAAATCTACGTGACACTTTCAGGGCCGACGATACGTGGAAGAGCTTGTAACACGACCAGCGTGCCGAGAAGTCTAAACACAGGTTAAATCGGTATTCCGTGACGTAACGTTTCATTTTTTAAGCACTGGCACAGAATCATTATTCCAAGAGTTTCGTGAGGCGAATACCATGCAAATTTTTCTACGTTCTCGTCGAAGCTTTCGCGAAAGCTTTAAAAGTACATGAAGCAGATCTAAACTTTCGACAAAACAGACTTTCGACAAGTCGACACAACAGCGTGTATACCTATATCCATGAATGTTCAATATCCCCAAAAACATTTTACCGAAGTACCTAAAGTCCCAAACCGGTTACATAAGCTCTCTCTTCTCTCTCCCTTCTCCAAATGGGACGCGAGGAGAAAGATCTCACAGTGAAATTGGCAGTGTGGATATTAGACTCCGAGGAATTTCTTTTCTTGCTTCCTTAATTCTTTCGTACCGCCCTACCCCTCATCCACCCCACCAGCAATAGATTCACTTCTTCACACAGCTACTTCCTCATCGCCTCCATTATTGGTACCATCTACATTGGACGTTCAGAATCTTCGCGCTACTCAATTTCTAAGATACGCTCCATTGATGGACCAATGAGAATCTACCATAGAAGAAAAGCCTAACGATGCGTCCGATAAGCTGCCTAATTCCGTGTACGATTTCACCTTCGTTTCTCTGCCTACATACATATATATCCGTCACTGTTATTACCCCTTCTTACATAAGTGTATAAGACACCCAAGCGAAGCAGGCCCTGTGTAGAGGGTATTGCGAGAAATTGAAATTCTCATGACGCATGAAGTGAACGCATAGGAAAAATAATAATAAAAAATAATAATAAAAAAATAATAAAAAATCTACATTGGACGTTCAGAATCTTCGCGCTACTCAATTTCTAAGATACGCTCCGTCGGACCATTGATGGACCAATGAGAATCTACCATAGAAGAAAAACCTAACGATGCGTCCGATAAGCTGCCTAATTCCGTGTACGATTTCACCTTCGTTTCTCTGCCTACATACATATATATCCGTCAATGTTATTACCCCTTCTTACATAAGTCTATAAGACACCCAAGCGAAGCAGGCCCTGTGTAGAGGGTATTGCGAGAAATTGAAATTCTCATGACGCAGGAAGTGAACGCATAGGAAAAATAATACGTCGTCTAAAGCGCTACGAGCCGTAATCCCTAGAGCGCATTATCTCTTATCACCCTGAACAGTGAAACGTCATCCTTGAAAAAGGAACTTCCGCGTCATTTCTTGCGAACCGGTATACCGATATGTTTCCTGAGGACCTTGGCCACTTACCGGTCCTGAGAAATGGCTCCCGCGTTAGGAGGGAAGCGAAATGTCAGTCGGGTTAAGTATCGCTCGGTCCACACAGAATGAAATAGAAAAATGACATTCCGTTTTCCCTGCTTTCACTTCGGCTTTGTCGACACCAATTTTCTTTTTCGGCCGCCTCTCCATTCTTTTTCTCCTGTCTCTTTCATTTTATTTCAGTGACGGTGTTATTTCTCCAGAAAGAGACCCAGCGGTCTTCTCGTTTAACATGTGGCAAAGATAACACGGCGCTACGATAAAAGGACCGATTAAACAGTGTGTCCCGTTGAGATCATGGAGAGCTCGCTAAATTCTCTCGGTGGTAATTCCCCGGTATAATTCAAGCCGCAAACAAGGTGTAAGGCAAGAGGGGTTACCAATGGACGTAGGTCGCTGTAGGTGGAAGGTGCGATAGGTTGGCTAGAGAGTTTCGGCCTTGCGCGTTGGCTGTCCTCAATAGCAGACTGTACTCTAATTAACGGGATAGGATATAAGGGTTGCTCCACTGGGATGGAGGACCGTTCAAATAACTCGGCCGAGAGAGACAGAGAGGTGTGAGATAATGATAGAGAGACGAATGGGACAAGAAGAGGAGTATAGAGAAACTGATGCTACTGTACGAAGATGAAGCAGAGAAGAGATGTGGATCGAACTCAGTTCCTATACACCTATGTATAATAAATGCAGTACGTGGATCAATATATATATATGCTATAGTATATGACTAGTAGACTCCATCCATCCCTTGACCCATTCGACCATTCATATTTAGCTCTCTCCAAACGTTATAGAAACTTTTATACTTCTCGACTTCTAAAGCTACCAAAAATCGCAAAGTCCTACAAACTTTGTCATAACTTAGGGAGGTTGACCGTCCAACAAGGATTATTGGTTTATCCCACGCCGCTTGCACAGCCCAAATCAAATCACAAGGGGTCCACTCGTGTCGCCTGATTTTCACTGCCATTACTACTGCGCGCTGGAAACTTTCGGTGGCCATAAAAAAAAAATAAGACCAAATTTACCCAACCTACCCCTAAAGCACCATCACGGATGTTTTCATACGTTCCAATTCCGCGTTAATGTTCTTCCCCATGAGCTTTCTTCATCCGATTTATATCTACGGGCCATTTCCATCGATCAAGCCCACTTCTAGTCTATTCCGTTCTTTTCTTATTCTCTGCACTGCATGTATATCTATATACAGACAGCCGTACGAAAGAGGCGAGTTCCTCTCACGCAAATGGGTCACTTACCGCGGTGCATCACGCAACCCTAACCCAATAACGTAAAGTGCATACACAAAGGATGCAACGAGGAACGTGAAGGAAATGCACGTGATTAATTTTGAAACGATCAACCGTCCTTAAAGTATCGGTTTTTCGCTTGCTTTTTGTCCATTCATATTTAGACTAGGCTATTTCGCTTCTTCGAAGTCAATTTAATCTCAAGGCTAATTTTCCAAGAAGATTCAGACTGACGCCCTATAGCCATCTATAATAAATGCAAATTTACATGTATTCCTCCACCTATAAATACCTATTTCGTTAATGCCTGACAAAGTGGAAAGTAATATTTCAGTATCAGTATGAAGATACGTGGAAGCAGTCGAGTTATATTTTACTTAGCGAAAACTGGAAATCGTAAACAAACGTAAATCACGGTCTGACGACTTTCGACGCTTCTCCCTGAGAGATAAAAGAGAGAGAGAGAGAGAGAGAGTGTGTGTGATATGGGGGGGGGGAATTCCTTCGGAAACAAAGCAAAATCTTTAATATATCTATAGATAGCATACAGTCACTCGCATACCGGAAATCCTTATTTGACAAGTATATATACATATATATATATATATTACTTGTTTTTATCTCAGACCGTGAAATGAGTTTTTGAAATGTGTCGTCAAATTTGTATTAAATTCTACGAATCACAGATGTACGTCCACAGCCCTACGAAAGCTTCCGTTCCGTTTTCCTCGTAACGACTGTGAATATAGGTTACTTTGACTAAACAAAGTGAACGTTAAAAAAGTTCCTGGCACAAGGATCATAAAGCTTGACGTGGCTGCCGTTCAATGGTCCAAATGTTATCAGACGGTATCTATATATATATATATATATACCCATACTATTCCACGTACCTTAAAAGTTCTACAGCATGTACCCGCCACACATACTATACGTTCTTTGTCTAGTTATCGAGGCTACACGTAATTCAACCTACGTATCTAGGTTGAAAACTTTGATTCTCCACTCTTTTACTACCCCTGTTTTATTAGCGGCTCTAGAAACCCTTGGTTATACGTGATCTGAATATAAACAAATATCAGTACTACTTGCAGCATCCACCAGCTGCCTGTTCAGCGTATACCACATGCGTGTACTAGTCTAGACTCTGTGATTTGAAATTAAATATAAAAACAGTAAAAAAAATCAAACTCAAAGACAACTCGTAATATTTTCATTTTCATCTCAATCTTTTTCTACTGGTTTTCCTTACAGTGGATGCGCATGAAAATATTGTCATTGATCCCTAAACGGATATTCAGATGCGTATATACACGTGTATCAGGCGTACTAGTTACATATGTCAATAGAGAAATTTAACGAAACTTTCCAAGTCACTCTCAATCCGAATCAACTTTTATCTTTAGGTATACATAACGTATACGTTTTCCTTTCTCAACGCGAATAAATCCTAATGAAAGGATCCAGCTACCGAGGCAGTCGACGTTAATAGAAATTTCATATCTGCGTTTCAACCTCAATATACGAGAAGTGGAGGACATAGATGTATATATAACCTTTTCCTCGGAGAATCCCTCGTGCATCGCATATTATATATCTACACTTTTAGGTACATTCGAGATGCTCTCAGCATCCAATTCAGCTGAATGCACAACACAGTAGTAACGTACGAGTACGTAGACGTGTCTCTCCCTTTCTCTAATATCTGTCCCTTTCTTTCTCTCTCTCGCTCTCTCTCTCTCTCTCTCTCTCCAACACAAATATATACATATAAATATATATAAATTATATATGTTATATATAAGTCGGAAAAAAAAAATAGAAAACAGAACTTCAAATCCACAATCTGGCAGGATTTCGACGTTGCTCTAGAGCCTACGTATGTATCTCGTACGGATATTGACTCAAGTCTCTTTACGTTACCGGATCTACAACGTTACATTTCTCGCTCGGTATATTGTTACTGGTACGATGAAAA